CCCGGGCCCCCGCCGCCGCAACGGGCTGCAGCAATGTGCCGCTGCAATGAGCGCCGCTGTAATGCACCGCTGCGATGCACCTTCACGACACATCACAACAACTCTACCCCTCTCCTTTAGCCCTATTTATAGGCTGAAAAGAGGAATGAGCTCTTAAATGCACATTTATTAAAAATTAAAAATAAATTAAAAAAATGGCTCAACCAGCTGTTTTCTTCGCGGAACCCACTTCCGTTTTTTGCTTCAGCCGTTTGGAGCCGTTTGGAGTCCCCAAATTTAATTATGGTGGAGAACTTTCAGCCCGTTTGGCCCCCGTTGACCGCCGTTGACCCCCCCCGCCCCCCGCCGACCGTCATCGACTGTCATTAGCCACCGCTGACCTCCGTCGACCACCGCCGACCTCCGTCGACCACCCTCTGACAACCGCCGACCACCGTCAACAGCGTCAATCTCTATCGACCACTGTCGACCGCCGTCAATAACTACCGACCACTGTTGAGCACCACTGTCGCCGTTAACCACCACCGACCATCGTCGACCACTGCTGACCGTCGTCGATCACCACCAATCACTATCGATCACCACCGACCGGATGTTGTTAGTCAACGTTGTAACTTGAAAAATCTAATAATCATTTCTCGTCTATGAGACAAAGTGTCTCTGTAATCATAAGCTTATAGTGAATTTTTACAACAAGACCAGGCCCCATGATTTTTTCACTTTGCGGGTTTTTCACATAAAAATTTATGGTATCTTGTTAGTTTTTTTACCTGAGTGTGTGTTGAATTCTCATATTATGCTAAGACGATAATCTATTACTCTAACTTCGCAAATTTTATAGCACTCATCAACTATTATAATATACTAGAGAACTTAATCACATATTTTCGAGCACAGCACATTGTCTACAGTAGAGTTCAACAAATACGACAAGATAAATTAGCCCAAAAACCAACAAAAGAAGAACAGCATCAAAGAAAAAATCTAAGGAAACACAACTCTGAAGCACTCATCTTAGGAAAAAGGAAGCCAAACAATCCAATAAACCAATAAAAGAAGCATCATCTCATAATAGTGCAAAACCACAGAACCCCAGTTAATCTACGTGAAATCAAACAAAAACCAAAGAAAACAACTCAAACCCCTAAGAAAGCAGTAAAAACGTATACAATAAATATTGCAATGAAAACATAATTACCCTTTATTCAATCCACCAACCATCCAATCACCAGATGCTTGCTCCATCAACCCGTCCAATAACCAGACTCAAAAAATACCGAATAAATCGAAATCAAAAGAAAAAAAAAAAACCGAAGCTTCAAGGCGAACAGAATGGAGAAGACATAGAAGAAGATAAAAAGAAAAAGGGAAAAAAGGATAGTGATGGAGACCTTGAGCGTTCTCTTGCAGTGGTGACATCGAAAGCAAGCCCTGTGAAAGAAGCGGTTATCTGCAGCGAGCTGGTCCACCAAGTAGACCGTCTTCCCGCACGCCGTGCACTTCTGCGTCGTTCCGGCGAACACCGAAGATGACATCTCTGTGCAGTTCGCCGGAGGGGCTACTGTTCTTGATCGGAAGCCACCGGGTTTTGGCTTGGAAGACTTGGAGGACACCTGAGAAGATGCTTCGATGGAGAAACGGAGTCGAGTTCGTCCGTGGAGAACGGCAGAGGGAACTTTTCGCTTTAGCCATCTTAAATAAGAAATTTACGTGAAACGGGGAGAACTTTGAAGTGTCAAAAATTTTATTTATTTATTATTTTTTTTTTTTGTCTCCACTTTTAAAGGGAATTTAGAAACATGCTTCCTGTATTTATTTATTTAAAAGAATCGTTAGAGCCTATTATACGAGCCTCCAGATAGTTCTTCTGTGCCCACCAATTCGAGTATCATTCTTAAGACTCGCGTCGCTAGATGGAGATTCGAACTTCGGACCTGAGGGGTCTTACACAAAAAATGCCAACCGATAAGCTATGATACGCGCACATGCTTGTTGTATATTTATATATCCAACACTTAAATTCAAGATACTTAAATCATTGCATCTCTGTGCAGTTCGCCGGAGGGGCTACTGTTCTTGATCGGAAGCCACCGGGTTTTGGCTTGGAAGACTTGGAGGACACCTGAGAAGATGCTTCGATGGAGAAACGGAGTCGAGTTCGTCCGTGGAGAACGGCAGAGGGAACTTTTCGCTTTAGCCATCTTAAATAAGAAATTTACGTGAAACGGGGAGAACTTTGAAGTGTCAAAAATTCTATTTATTTATTTATTTTTTTTTTGTCTCCACTTTTAAAGGGAATTTAGAAACATGCTTCCTTTATTTATTTATTTAAAAGAATCGTTAGAGCCTATTATACGAGCCTCCAGATAGTTCTTCTGTGCCCACCAATTCGAGTATCATTCTTAAGACTCGCATCGCCAGATGGAGATTCGAACTTCCGACCTGAGGGTCTTACACCAAAAATGCCAACCAATAAACTATGATACGCGGCACATGCTTGTTGTATATTTATATATCTAACACTTAAATTCAAGATACTTAAATCATTAAGTTTTGTTCACTAATAGCTTGATTTCACTTATTTTTCGAGGAAATTGAGCTCATAAGGCAATACACAAGATTCAGACTCGAAATCTCATAATAAGAAACTAAACCCTCAACCACTATTTCGTATGTCGCAGATAAATGCATTATTTAATCATTCTTTCAAAAAGCTGAAAAAGTCAAATTTCTAACGAAGGAAGTTGATGTGTGCTGTTGATTCTCACAATTGTTTTGCTGACCATGTTGAATTTGGACTTTGACATTCAACTTCATTCATTGATTTGAAATTAATTTTCACATGTTTGCATGATTAAGAAGGGATTTATTGATCAGAAGATACATTTTCTTTTATCAAAACTCGACAATGTGTCAAATAAATCTAAATAATTATTAATTACATTAAACTTAGGGGGGCATTTACATACATGCAACACAACTTTTTCGTATTTACATATCTACCACATAAACTTCCATATTTATTACGTACATAATACTCAAATATTTAATATTACAAAAAAAAAAGAAAAAAATATTAGAAATTGTTTCTAATATATAATATATGATGTTTCTATAGCGCGTTTCGCGAGCGAAAAATTAAAATAAAGCATGCATTTCGAAGCATCAAAATTAATTTGCAAGGCTTTTTTTAAACTTTTAAGATTTTAATTATTGCAACAAATTATTAGAAAATATTTAAAATTTTTAATTTACAAATTTGCCCTCAATATTTGCTTTTTAAGTTTGAATTGTACCACATTCTTTTCTTTTTATAGTAAATTTAAATTTTACTTTATATTTTATAATTATTAATAATTTATCGATCAGAAGATACATTTTCTTTTATCAAAACTCGACAATGTCTTAAATAAATCTAAATAATTATTAATTACATTAAACTTAGGGGGGGCATTTACATACATGCAACACAACTTTTTCGTATTTACATATCTACCACATAAACTTCCATATTTATTACGTACATAACACTCAAATATTTAATATTACAAAAAAAAAAATTAGAAATTGTTTCGAATATATAATATATGATGTTTCTATAGCGCGTTTCGCAAGCGAAAAATTAAAATAAAGCACACATTTCGAAGCATCAAAATTAATTTGCAAGGCTTTTTTTTAAACTTTTAAGCTTTTGATCGTTGCAGCAAATTATTAGAGATTGTTTAAAATTTTAATTTACAAATTTGCCCTCAATATTTGCCTTTTAAGTTTGAAATTGTACCACATTCTTTTCTGTGACAACAATAGTCGTTAATTGGCACCTATGGGCAGTTGATTGCGAGAATAATGAGTTGATAAACAAATTCTTCATCCTAAACATAAAAATTTAAAGCATTTGGGTGCTAGATTTTATAAATAATAATACTTGGGGCGGCCATATATGTGAGTATCCTAATTTTAATTGCAATACATTTCATATACATCATATCTTGAAACTCCAGCTCAGATCTTGCAAACAATCATAGCCAAATTTTTTTTTTTACATATTTTATTTTTTTAAGGACACAAATGCTGCAAATTTACAATCAAATTACAGGAAATGTAAAATGCAAATGTGCAGAACATTAGGGAGGTTTTCGCAAAAAATAAAAGCTAATTTTAATGCGCTACGGCTGTTTTATTTGACGCGTCCGTTTTGGCCTTACCCTTTATTTCTTAAAATCCATCATTCATTTTTGTCTCTTCAACGAAAGAACATAATACTGCTTCCGACACCATTCCAAGATCTGTGGAATGCGGGTCTGAAGCTGCAAGCTTTATTGCTAATCTCAACGCATATCCAAGGGCTATTAATATTTTTAATTTATTTAAACATGGGTGCCATTCGAGCTTTAGCTGGCCGTTAATATTCCGCGCGGACAAACCGCGCCGGCAAAATAGAAAAAGCGCCGCGCATTAATGGAATGAGCTGTCGGTGTAATTATTTCAATTATGGGGGATTTATACACCTGCAAGAAGGTGGAAGTTCGTTCGTGTCCGATTCGTTTAAATTTCGAGCTTAAAAATATATTCGTATTCGACTCATTAATTCAACGAGCAAAACACGAGAACCCTAATCACATAGCAATAAAATGTTAAGTGTTGCGACAAGATTTAATATATTGAAACATCATTTGAATATAACTTAAATTAATTGTTTGGTTGGCGTTTACACTATTATTATTATTTTTATATTATTTGTGGAAATTTGCTTGAAATGAGATTGAGATGTTTGACTACAAACACCCACTCTCGGTTGGTGTTTCTAATGTGATTAGTTGGATAGCTCAATCAATTAAATTCTATCGTCCCTCACAATTAATTTCATCTATATATATATATAGTGTTGTGCTTCGCGACTCTTTGGTTGACACATGTATTGTCAGTTGTGAGTCCCCTAGGGTCACGGGTTCAAGGTCACCTAAGTGGATCTATCTTACAGTGCTGGATCGAGTAGTTAGACGAATGAGATTGGTTAGAGGCTTCCAGCCAATCTTTTTAAATATATATATATATAGCCATCGTGGGCAATAATGGCTGCAGGAGGTGATGGATGATGGACGATGACAACAATAGTCGTTAGTTGGCAACTTGGCACCTATGGGCAGTTGATTGCGAGAATAATGAGTTGATAAACAAATTCTTCATCCTAAACATAAAAATTTAAAGCACGTGGGTGATAGATTTTATAAATAACAATACTTCGGGCGGCCATATATATAAATATCCTACTTTTAATTGCAATACATTTCATATACATCATATCTTAAAACTCCAGCTCAGATCTTGCAAACAATCATAGCCAATTTTTTTTACATATTTTGTTTTTTTAAGGACACAAATGCTGCAAATTTACAATCAAATTACAGGAAATGTAAAATGCAAATGTGCAAAACATTAAGGAGGTTTTCGCAAAAAACAAAGTTAATTTTAATGCGCTACGAGCTGCTTTATTTGACGCGTCCGTTTTGGCCTTGCCCTTTATTTCTTGAAGTCCATCATTTATTTTTGTCTCTTTAACGAAAGAACATAATACTGCTTACGGCACTATTCCAAGATCTGTGGAATGCGGGTCTCAAGCGGCAAGCTTTATTGCTAATCTCAACGCATATCCAATGGCCATTAATATTTTTAATTTATTTAAACATGGGTGCCATTCGAGTTTTAGCTGGCCGTTAATATTCCGCGCGGACAAACCGCGCCGGCAAAATAGGAAAAGCGAGCCGCGCATTAATGGAATGAGCTGTCCGTGTAATTATTTCAATAATTGGGGATTTATTTCGACTCGTTTATATTTCGAGCTCAAAAAGTATATTCGTGTTCGACTCATTTATTTTACGAGCCGAACACGAGCTGTTCACGAATAAAAAATTATTTTAATAACCCTAATCACATATCCATAAGATGTTAAGTGTTGCGACAAGATTTAAAAATTATTGTTTATATTAAAACATCATTTGAATCTAACTTAATAAATTTTTTCTATTTTTTTAATTAATAATTTTAATTAATTATAAATCTTTATACCTTATAATCAATTAAATTTTTTAAAAATATTACTCATCAATATATATAGATATAATTGATTAATAGTATTTTAAGTCAAAACGATCCGAACATGAACGAACAAATCTTTGTTGATGTTCAGCTCGTTAACTTAGCGAACGAGCTAAACACAAGCTTCTTGACGAGCCAAACATGAGCTGTTCACGAACAATGAGTCTTTTTGACAGCCCCACTTGCAACGTCATTCTTATTTGCAACGTCATTCTTATTTATTTATATATTAAATATCTACTTTTTTATATTCATTTGGGACATTTGCATACACGCCACATAATTCTTATATATATATATATAACTAAACTTTCTTATTTACAATTATAACTCTCAAAACGTAACGTCACATTAAATATCACCATTATTTAGCTTGTAAGTGTTAATAGTTATAAATATTAAACTTTAGGTGTTATATATGTGAATACCTAAAAAAATATGTGGTATGCATGCAGATTTCCCTCAGAAGTTGGCAATGAAAGATTAGAGTGTTATGAATGTAATAGACATGCAAATATAGAAAAAAGTTCTACAAACTTACGAATAATTACAAAGCTGCATCAAATATCATTCATCACCTCTTAAAAGCTTTGGAAAATGTAACTTTATAGAATAAATGCGCAAATGAAATGCAAAAATGGTTTTACAAAAAGATGCATTTTATTAAGGTTTATTTTGCAAACTGCAACCAAAAGCGATTTCAGTGACATCTCCATAATTACTTTGAAACTGCCACAGCAACAATCTCATAGCTGCAAGCTGAAAGAACAAGGCAAACAGCACTGAAGTTAGAAGGCTTCTCCTCTTCAGCTTTTGCTTGAAAGCTCTAAATGCCAAAGGAGTCATTTGGGATCACTTTAATTTTTAATTAAAAATAAGGGAAATTTACATACATATCATACAATTCTTATGTATTTACATATCTCGCACCTAATAATTTTTAAAAATAAAAAAATAAGTAACAAAATTGATCGCAAAAAGGCTTCAAGTTTTAAATTTAACAATTGTTTTACAGCATAACAGGCAGATAGTATTTACAGCAGGGAATACAGGCGTTACAAATGGTATGAGAAGTGAAGAAAGTGCAGCAGATACCGCTACAAACAGATACTTCAAACTTGCTGAAACACTTTAAAAACTCTTCAAAACGTGAATCAAATCACTAAGGAATATCAAATTTGAAGGAAACTCATCTTGCTCTTCTGATAAATCAACCCATGTTAACCATGAATCATAAGACTTATCCTCAATGATTAAATAGTGAGTTAGCAAACAAATCCAATTTTACAGGATCTCCACTAATCAAAGAAAATCAATCACAACACCTGCAACAAATTAGAATGATTTGATTTATTTTTTAATATGACGAGCATGTTTTGTTCTCTCAATAAAGTCGAGAACTTCTTGTAAACCTCAATCAAAACATTATTCTCTTCACCCTTTTATGAAGGCATTAGTCGTTGGAGATCGTTCATGGCATTCACATTTTAAAAGTGGATTTCTGCTCTCTCCCCGCTCGGTGGAATCACAGGAATAGTAGCTTCAAATGATCCATCTGATGCTGATCTAATGAATGAAATAATTGGACTGATTGTAGGATATTTCAAGAATTTGAATGAGATGTGAACTTCTTCATTTTCTAAGAGACAGATGTCAAAGCCCAACCCGATATTTTGATGTTAGATCTTGAATGTGTAAGTTTCATTTTCATATTTCATCGCTTCCACAAGGTAATGTGGTCAAAGCATTCAAATAGTATATTCTACTCAATGGAGACTGCGAACACTTCCATTATCTGGTTTCAAACCCCGGATGCGGAAAGTGGAGCGTTGTGTTAAGTAGAGTATGACAACCAGCGTAAATTTTTTGTCAAAAAATCATAACAAGAATCATTTAAATCTTTATGTAAATGTTGGGGTGTTCCCTTATAGTGACGCGTTGTATGCCTTGAATGCAGCGAGAAGTATGCAATGGTCGCTACACTGACGCTCGGATGTAGTGTCAAATAAGTAAGGATTCTCACATTACAGATAGATGCAAACAAAGAAGTTGGTTCATAAAACTAATATTAGGATATAATCATGGAACATATGCACTCTCTCACAAGTAAATTAATGAAATTAGTAGATATTATGGTTCATAGAAAGATAAATAACTTATATATTCACAAAGCTAAATGGGTTGGAGAAAAGATTAAAGAGATTAATAGCTTAGGTTATAAACTTTGGTATTCATGTAGGAGTCACACTGGTGTAGGCGTAATTATAAATAAGAGTTTGAAAAATAATGTTATAGAAATTAATAGAACTTGAGATAAAATTATAGCCCTAAATTATTATTGATACTAAGATTTTTAATGTCATAAGTGCTTATCTCCTAAAATAATATTGTAGAAATTAATAGAAGTTGAGATAAAATTATAGCAAAAAATTATTATTGATACTAAGATTTCTAATGTTATAAGTGGTTATGCTCCTCAAGTAGATTTAGATATAAGTTCAAAAGAAAAATTTTGGAATGATCAAGAATAATTAATACAAATGATACTTCTATAAGAAAAACAAATTTATTGGAGGAGATTTAAATGGACATGTTGGTAAATTAGTAGAAGATTTTAGAAATATTCATTATGATTACGGTTTTGGAGTGATTAATAAAGCATACATAACCATATTATATTTTGCATGCATATCAATTTGTTATTCCTAATACTTTATTCAAGAAAAGAAATAAACATATTATTACTTATGAGAAAAAGATATCATTAAGAATGTAAAGATTGTAAGGTAATTAAAAGTGTAAATTTAAGTGCCCAATATTGATTATTAGTTTTGAATTTTAAGACGAGGAGTTGAAGATAAAGAATACAATAAAAAATGTCATAAAATTAAATGAAAGACAAATAAAATTATTTTTATGATTAAATTTAAGATTTCAAGATTTGGAATGTTCATGAAGATGTTAATTCTATCTAGGAAAAAGTAAAAAACACTATTAAACAAGTGACAAAATATGTACTTGGAGAATCAAAAGAAAAAAAAATTATAAATAAAAATAGTTGGTGGTGGAATAATAATGTACAAGAAAAATAAAATTTAAGAAGTTGTGTTATAAAAATTGATTTAAATATAAAAGCTTAGAGAATTGAGAAAAATATAAAGTGGCTCATATGAAATCTAAGAGAAAACTTTGTGACGTTAAAAATTATATTTTTAGTGATATTTATAAGAGATTAGATACTAAGAAATGTGAAAAACATATTTTATAAACAAGTTAAACAAAGAGAAGAAAAGTGAAAATTTAATTCAAGTGTGCTAAAGATGAAAATTAAAAAGTATTTTTCTAAGAGAGAGATTTTCAACAAAAATGGTTGAGTTATTTTATTAAGCTTTCAATGAAGTTTCTGAAAACATGATTGACCTTAATGATATTATTAGTAATAATAAAACATTTTATTTTTATTGTCACATTAGTAAAAAAAAATTGAGGAGTTTTTAAAAAAAACCAAGGGTGAAAAATCAGCAAGACATGATGATATCCCAATTAAAGTATGAAAAAATTAGGAGATTAGAGAGTTTATTGGTTTACTAAACTATTTAATAATATTTTAAAAAACTAAAAAGATGTCTGAGTGGAGGAAGATTATTTTGATCCCCATTTTTAAGAATAAAGGGGGTGCACAAGAACGTGCAGATTATAAAAGAGTTAAGTTAATGTGTCATTCTTTAAAATTATGAGAGGGTTAATGAGCATAGGTTAAGATGTGAGACAAAATTTTCTTAGAATCAGTTTCGTCGGGCAGGTTTACTATATTAGCTATACGTTTATTGAGAGGTTTGATGGAGAAGTACAGAGAGAGTAAGGAGGCTCTATATATGATTTTTACTGATTTAGAAAAAGCTAATAATAAGGTTCCAAGAGAAGTCCTTTTGAGAGTTCTAGAGAAGAAATGTGTTGATATGACTTATATTCAAGTCATTAAAGATATGTATACTAGAACTGTTACTTGTGTTCAAACAGAGTGAGGATTCATCCCCTATTTCAGTTGGATTACATCAAGGATCGACTTTAAGCCCATATCCTTTAACTTTAATTATGGATGTTCTTACTGGGCATTTACAAGAGGATGTACCTTGGTGTATGTTTTTTGCTGATGATATCCTTCTATTGAATAAGGTTAGAGAAATAGTTCAGAAAAAAACTTGAATTATAGAAGCCTACATTGGAGTTTAAAGGTCTTCGTTTGAGTAGATCCAAAACTAAATACATGAAATTAATTTTAGTAGTAGTATCTCTGGTGGCAAAGTTGTAACTATGGGCGATCAAATCATTAAAAGGTGTGAACGTTTTAGATAGCTCGGGCCTATTGTTCAAAGTGATGGTGATATAGATGGGCATGCTAATAGTAGAATTCAAGTTAGTTGGTTAAAGTGGAGGAATGCACTGGGCCTATTGTGTGATAGAAAAATACTGCTTAGACTTAAAGGAAAATTTCATAAGATAGTGGTGAGACCCGTAATGCTCTATGGCGCAGAATGTTAGCCTTTAAAAGAGAAGCATAAAATAACGTTAAGTATTGCTGAGATGAGGATGCTTAGATGCTGAAGGACATGACACTTAGAGATAAAATGTGAAATAAGTATATCCATGATAGGGTTGGTGTAGCTCCAGTGACAGACAGATAAGATTAGAGAGAGTCATCTCAGATGGTTTGGTCACATTAAACGTTGATCATCTGATGATCTCGTTAGGAGTGTAGATGCTTTAGATTCGACATATGTTAAAAAAGGCAGTAGTAGAACTAAAATGACTTGGGCTTATTGATTGAAAAATGATCTTAATCTAATAGAATTAAATGAAAATATCTCAAAAGGACGATCCCTCTTAGTGGGATAAAGGTGTTGTTATTGTTGTTGTCAATGGAGACTACCATGGCACTTCTCGAATGATTTTCACACCTTTTTCAAGTTTCTTAGATCACTCAAATTTGATGTAAGGAGCATAAACCTTCACCAAAAAAGTTTGAAGAGAAAGAGCTAGCTAATGATGCCTTGAACTTGAAAACTTACTTAATAAAGTTAATTTAAGGACATTTGTGCTCTTCTAAAGGAATATGCTAAAATTATTTTTGTTATTGTCGTTTGTCAAGAGAATCTTTATACTTTGATGCAACATTAAACGAAAACTTTTGATGAAACTCGGGTAGATCACAACGAAATATTTGATATAATTTTTTGTGATAAGCCTGCAAAGCGGGAGCACAAAATTGTTCTTACCAGAAAAGTTGTTGCTAATACAAATAAATCTTCCCAACCAATGATGAGCAATGATACTTTTCAGGTTGGGTATAAACATTTCATTAATTGAAGACAAAAGACAGAAATTTCCCAACTCTCTGATAAAAAAGGACAACTTTCTTGATGAAATACACATATTTTTAAATTAGTAAAATTACATCGTATCACATGATTCTTATGTATTTATATTTCTCACATCTAAACTTTCATATTTACATACATAACACTTTGGTGTGTTAACCTTATGCATGAAAAAGTGTGCTTCAATTTTTAAAAATGATAGTAGTACTATTTTTTATATGATATTAAAGATTTGAGTGTTATGTGTATAAATATGAAAGTTCAAGTGTGAGATATGTAAATTAAGTCTAGTTTCAATGTCCAAATTCCTCAAGAATCGTTCAATCATTAATAGTCCCATTGGTCCCTCATGTTCATTTGGACATGCTGACTTCATCTTAATATGTTCATTTTCCAGTTCTTCAAATAAGAGTTACTTTTGTTCCATGTGAAAAGATGCAGAACAAATGTGGTGATCAGAATTCTCTTCTATAATAATATATAGAAAAATGTCCATTTAATTTTAACATGTTGTAAATATTATATATATACATGCTGACTTCATATTACTATGCTCCTTTGATCCAATAACAGATCAGTCAGTACAACATATAGTTGTTTCTAATGTTCAACAGTCTGCACATCTCCAACACACTTTAGACCAATATCAGGTGAGTCAATCTTCGGATGAGGAATGACAGGTCTATTCCAGGAGGAAGAAAAATAATGGAGGCCGACTCCAGCTCGGGAACATATTGGATGATACATTGATTACTACTGACAATGACAATCATCTTACCAACTTATTAGCTTGCTCCTTCCCTAGAACTAGGGGCAGCGGAAATAACAAATTGGATCGCTCTCTTGCCAACTGAAATTTTTTATTTCGACACTTTTAGGCTTTTTCTTTAAGTCTTTAATGTACTTTTCTGTAATTTCTAGTTTTGGAACCATTTGTGATTTTTGTGTGGGCAGGGTGCCATGCTTGGGTCCTCCCACACATTGTATCTGTATTTTTCTTTCTAGTTAATATAATAGTCTTTTTGGGCTTTCTAATATATATATATATTAAGGACTAATAGTTTATTTCTTTAATGTAGTAATAGGAAAGTATAGTAATCCATAAGTCTACAAAAAAATTACGACTCTTTTAAAAGAGGATTAAAGAAAATTCAGTAAAATTTGAGAACCTTTCTCTCTTCCCCTCCTTATCTCTATTAGTTTGCCCTTGCCTTTGAAAAGAAGCCCGTTGAAAAGGCTTTGATAATGCCTCTCTAGAATTCAATGCAAAAATTCAAAGCAAATGCAATTCTCTAGATTTCGTATGGATCTAGGTCAAAGGGAAATAAATTCTGATATTATGGTCTCATTTGATAATGCATTTTAGTTGTTTTATTTTTAAGAAAATTTGACAAATAATAATTTCTAATTTGCCAAAGAAGCATACGAAAGAGAATGCTATACTAATATGCAAGCCCATGGTTTTACAATCACGGACGATGCACATAAAGAGCAACGTGCCTATCCCATGTGAGGGGCATCAACTTTAGCACACGAGTGGACTTCTAAGCCAATAAAAATTGGAACGAGCACAAGTTTTTGCTATTTTTGCAATAATTTTAATTTTGTGGGATCTTTGTAGCATAATTTAGCATTTGTAATTAATGCTTTGTATATTGAACATTTAAAGAGTATCGAATAATACTAAATAAAAAAAATAGCATCTACTATTCCACACTATTGCATTCAAGACTCTCAGATCATTTAATCCAACTCTTATTTTGAAGGATTCTGAATAGCAAATCCCAATTACTGGTCCCCTTACTTTGTTCTCCTTCGCGAACTTCTGCATATGCCCCTTCTTAGTCAAAATGCGTTTAAGGCATTAGAGTTCAAAGCCAAAACCTCGGTATCTCCAGTATGATCTATCTACGGGCATGTCAAAAAATTTGCACTAGTATTATAAGGTTTTCATCTTCAAATTTTTCGATATTATGTTGATACGAATAACTCTCTTCATGAATGGAAATAATTGTTCTAGTGGGGTGAAATTCTAAAAAATAACAACCTTGAATTGGCCAATGAAATGACACCAAACAATTTTTTTTCTTTTTTATTTGTCGCATGATGCGTTTAAGGCATTAGAGTTCAAAGCCAAAACCTCGGTATCTCCAGTATGATCTATCTACGGGCATGTCAAAAAATTTGCACTAGTATTATAAGGTTTTCATCTTCAAATTTTTCGATATTATGTTGATACGAATAACTCTCTTCATGAATGGAAATAATTGTTCTAGTGGGGTGAAATTCTAAAAAATAACAACCTTGAATTGGCCAATGAAATGACACCAAACAATTTTTTTTCTTTTTTATTTGTCACATGACTCACATCTCTACTTTCTACCATGCATTATGTCCTTTCACAAAGTAGCTCTTTTTTACCTGTATGAATGAAAATTATATAAGTAAAGTTCCAAAAAAAAATTTAAATCTTGCGTATCTTGTAAAGAAACATGAGGACATGAAATGATTTGTGCCCTTACGGATCCATGTTTAGCATTCCCTCATTTTTTGAATTGTCAACGGTAAGGTTCCTGGTAGATCAAATGCAGTTTTTAATTCTGATAGCATGCTTCCAAAATGATTTGAATGTTAAACCTACACTTTTTATGCATCATTTAAAATGTTTCAAATTTTTAATAAACTTCTAAATTATTTGATAAAGGTATTACATGGCTGTGAATTTTTAAAGTTTTTTTTTTTTGCGTTTTATATTGGATTTCATTTCCTTATTGCATCATAAGCAATACCATGATTTGTGTTGCATCTATGATCAATCAACACAAGAATCACTATCAAAGTTGTATGCTAATATTAGGAAAAATAAAAAGTTGTGGCACTTTTCAGATCGATTAAACATATTACCAGCTCAACAAAATCAAACGCTTCATAAGAGATACTGGTGATCTGATCACTTGGATGTTGCAATGCCACATGACCCATGGAACTTATAACAAGATAAAAGTTTTGAGTATCATCCTCGAGAAGGAACGAGCTAATATCTTAGTCCATAAGTGAGAAGATAAGGATCTGAACCAAAATGAAGCGCTTATTATTAAACTGGACGCTTATTTAGATCTTGAATTTTTGGACCAATCAAAAGTTTATACATTTATGAGCCATTGGGTTGAAGCTCCTGTGGCAGCCAAAAAATTTGAAAAATTACAAACAATCTAATCCCTTGTTAAACCATCATTACTTCAACAATTGGAATTTTCTTCATTTGTCAAAATCCAGATTTCTTACATTTATCTAAAGAAGATAGTTGAACTTGAATGCTGGTGAACTTTTAGAGTTCGCTATTCCTACATTATATCATGACATCATCCTACATCAATGAAGCGCACAAAAAAACTTTTAGAGCATACTATATTAATAGCAAGTTAAAATAGCATTCACATGTTACATCATAGTTTAGAATACACATATTTTCTATACTGGAGTTTCTGCAAAATAATAGAAAATTTTGAATAAAAGTGGATATACCTATATTATAAAGTTCTTCAATGCAGAGGTAAAACAAGGTAAGATCTGAAATAACATACCAGCAACTGCAAGAATTGTTAGCACATTTCCAATTTTCGATGCTTGTTTTACAGATTTCTTGTAGGACTTGAAACGTTTCAAAGCAGGATCTTCTTCCAAAAGCTGCAAATTAATTAATTGGATAAAATGAAAAAAAAGAGAGAAAAACAATGATGAAAATTAACAGAGACATCTTACCTCTATATTATCAGAGTTACCTAAACGCTATATAAACACACAGAGCAGTTCTCTATTTAATAAATTCATTATATACTAGTCATATACATTACACACCACTATAAAAGTGCTGGAACTGTAAAAATAGCATAGTTTTGGAAACCTAAAAATAGCTTAGTTGTATTCAATTACTGCATTGTAAATGTAGCTTAACACAATTAAAGGTAATTAAAGCTCCATAAATAAAAGAACTTTAAGAAATTAGTTGGAGCATAGCCAAAAAAAAATAAATGCAGAGATTGAACTCATTGAAGGATAATGAGCATCTCAATTAAGTAAAATGTATTCTAATTACGCTAACATGAAGTGATGAAACAAAGAGAAACTTCAAGATTGATGGAAGTATATTAACAACAATCATTTAAATCCTTTTTAGAAATGAGATAATTAAGTATATATATGGTACTCTTTGCATGCTGAAGTGAAAGTCCAGCATCCTAAATGAGTTGAATTTTCTAAGAAAATGTGAAAAAAAAAAAAACTTTTTCATCATCATCATTCACCAACGAAAGAGTTTAATCCATTAAAAATTTTATAGTTGTGTTCATTCCTCCTTTTGATAAAGAGAGTATATTTATCGTCTCCACAAAAGCTTTACTATACCAAATTTTTCGGGGGAAGTCAGGTTCTATGGTAAGATAAATGCTACAAAAGTTAGAAAACAAGAGCTTCCTGATCTTATAGTAAACAAATAGAAAAAAAGAGGTATCGTTCTAATTTCTTCCATTTCCCCTACTTTCATAAGAAAAAATGCATGTCCTTGGGCTAACAATAACATACATAAAAGATAAAAGAGCTATAAACCTCTGCATGATGGAAAATGTTAAGAAAAAAAAAAATTTCATGGCATAGAGATGTTTTCCAAAGCTATCATCAAAGGAGCATACAACTCGGCGTCCTAATATATAGTATACCCAAACAATTATCAACTAATTCAACCTTTCCTTCTCTTCCACCACCAAATTATGTAAAAGGTTCAAAATGCAAATGACAAAAAACACAGCTTAATTTTAAGTAAGGGTTATGAAGGCCATAGCCCTGCAACTTTTATTGTATTCTGTTCCTCTCTTACTCCAACAAACACATAATTATCAAAATCCTGACATAAAACAGAACCAATTCAATAAACACATATTTCAAAGCAATTTTTTCCAGAAAGAAGTAATTTTATCTGCAACATATCTATTACGGGAGATTTGATAACGCGTAATCAATCTTCATTATTTCGATCGAGCTTAAATAACCTATGATAAAATTAACAGTAGAAAAATAAGGAAAATAAGCATATAAATTTTGTTAACATCCCAAATTGATGCAACCACTAAATACGTAAAACCATCTAAAAAGTGAAATTTAATAATCGAATAACTTCAGAAACTTCAATGTACAGATAAAAATGGATCAAAGATTATAACTACCAGATAAAAAGATTACGAAAATGAAACAGAGAAAGAGGGCATGAAAAACTCACCGCCTTCTCACGAGCTCCCAGCTCGATGTGATATCCACGCCGCGGAATATTATGCGTTTCCTCCTTCTGCATCATGATTAACTCTTAGACCTAAATGAAAACATGAATCGGCCAACACAGAGAGGGTGATAAATAAAGGAGAGAAGCTACACCTGGAAACGAGATCGAAAGCTCGAAATAATGGTTGAGTTAGATCGAGGGAATGCCATCCTCGCGGCGGCAGAGAGAGACAGAGAGAGAGAGAGAGAGGCGGATGACGGAGCTTCTGGGCAGCGATGAGGGAGATCAAAGATGAAGTTTCTATTTATTATTTTTATCAAACTCTTATTATTTTTGCTCATAAATATATGAATTTGATTTATTTACAAAGATAATATTTCTATTAATAAATTTGATTTCTCGATTATATATGTAATTCATTTTTAAATTGTTAATTAATTTGCAAGTGTGAAAATTAAAAAAGGATTATCATGTAAAATTATAGTTCTTTCAATGTTTTTTTTTTAATTAATGAATTTATGACAATCTAAATGGCAATACTTTTTGGGTTAACATGATATTTTATGGTCCTCTTAAAATATATGAATTACATAATATTATAAAATTGTAATAATATACCAACAAGGAATATAAGATTTTGAGCAAAATTAGGTACATTATTAAATAAAAATTATTGTGATATTATAAGCTATTTATAATGCATTATCAATCTCTCAAAATCATTATATCATCTCATTGTGATATTTTTCTAGTTTAGGCAATACTTAACTAGAGCTTACGATAAGGGATAAGGTTCCAAGAGATATGAGAGTTCTTGAGAAGAAAGGTGTTGATATGACTTATAATCAAGTCATTAAAGATATGTATACTAGAGTTGTTACTTGTGTTCAAATTGAAGGAGGATTGACCAAATATTTTTCTATTTCTGTTGGATTACATCAGGGCCCATATCTTTTTGCTTTAGTTATGGATGGTCTTACTGGACATCTATAGGAGGATGTACCTTGGTGTATGCTTTTTGCTGATGCTATCCTTCTCGTGGATAAAACGAGAGAAAAAGAAAAGAAAAACTTGAATTATGGAGGTCTATATTGGAGTCTAAAGGCCTTCATTTAAGTAGAACTAAAACTGAATACATGGAATGTAATTTTCGTAGTAATAGCTCTAGTGACATAAGTGTGACTTTGGGTGATCAAATTATTAAAAGGTGTGAACGATTCAGATATCTTGGGTCAGTTGTTCAAAGCAATGGTGATAAAGATGGGGATGTTAATAGTAGAATTCAAACGAATAAGCTGTGCTAGCTTTTAAAGAGCCAACTAAGTGGAGCAAAGAGGAAAAAAAACCTATTCATCTTCATTAATAAATATACCAACATGCAAAAAATCATTAAAGTCTAGTGATGCACAGTGATCATCAAGGCAACCATAGTTTTTATACATGCATAAATGTTCAATATTTACGTTGATACATAGGCTTGAAAATAAACCAGAACCTCCCAATACACACAGAAGTAATGAAATAAAAACCTTTCATAAATTCGGCCCCAAAAATGAAATAAGGCTAATGATGATGATTCTCTCTTGGCCACTCTAATGCGTCCAAGCTTTGGACCCAAGCCTTCATATGGAAAAAACAACCCGAATCTATAACCCATTCATGTCTGGATTTGTTGGCTGAGACAACCAAAACTTCGTACCCATCCGAATTCGATGTTATAACTGTTTTCCCATCTTTTTTATGCCCATTTTCTTATTTGATGGTTCTTTCTGGACAATCCTTCTTGTAATGACATGCATTATATGTTGAGATCACTGTTAACGTATGCCATGCATTATATGTTGTATTTCACATTTTAAAAGTTAAAATGGTCGTACTTCTGATGTGATATGAAAGTTTTGTGTGTCAAAAACCTAAAAGCTAATTTTAGGTTTTGGAAAGTAAATACACGTGGAGTGGGTGGTATGTATATAACTTTCATTTTTTTACTGAAGTCAAAACTTTTAATGGTCATAGGAAATTCAGAATGCTGTTGTAAACTGTAATGAAGGAATATATAGATAGTGGCAGAGCTATGATGTTTCTTGTTGGAAGACTGGCATTCATTCATAACATACACCTTATTCATCATGTTAGCTTGGAGTTGATAAAGTCTACTGGCTTTTGCTGCAAATAAAGTACCATGTCATACTGATTATATCAATCTAATCATCTTATCTTTATGTTTAAATATATTGATTTTGATTCTATTCGATTCATCATGAATACGCATTTGTTTGAAAGATTTATTAAATCTGTAGCCTCATCAGGGGAGTTTTTGACGAGCAAGTTGTTGCAGTATAACCAAAAAAAATAAATGATTGTTTTTTTTCAGTAACAACTACTAAGATTAAAATGGCAGTGGCAATCGGGCCATTATTCGAAAATTTTTTTATGCGTCTTTTTATGCATGGTTAAAAAGTTAATGATGATAAATATCCTTTTGTAAATGAAATATGTTTTTTCATGCATATGTTAGTATGTATGTAAAAAATTATTATTTTGGTGTTAGATATGTAAATAGTTAAGAATTGAGTGGTATTTGTGCAAATATTTTGTTAAATGGGATTTTGTGGACTCTTATAGTTAAGAACTGTAGTTCTTTTTATATTCTTAAAAAATGAAAATGAATTTAATTTCAAAATATTATATACATAAAATGACTATTTAAATATGAAATATATAAGCTTTTAAAAATTATATGACATATAGCTAGTTAACATAAAAAGTATAACTCTGCATTCCAGTTATACACAACCAAACAGCTCATAATTATTCAAAATACACCCCTTTCACTTTACTCTTCATGCATCTAACCAAAAAGAAAAAAAAAGTTCCCCTACATTTACTTCACAAACAGCCAAACAATTTCAAAATATTCAGAGTACACTGCCATCAAAGTACTCTATAAATATTTTACATTGCATTTCATTTTTAATAAATCAAACAGCTCCAAAGTGGGATCATGTAGTAGGGTGGAAAGGGTGAGCTTACGATTTGGTTGGGAAGGATTCCATTTCATGTGTGATTGATACGAGCTAATTGTCCATTCCATATTGTGAAGTGCTCTATGCCAGGGTAAATGAGTTGTTGAAGATGCTCAATATGTTGTATAAGATGAGTTGAAGCTCTGGAGTCCATAACTCATTGTTGTTGTGGGGTGATAGAGATTACAACATTATTTGAAGAGGTGGAGGGAATGATTAGTTTGTATTATTGGATTGATAGTGGAAAGCAACTGTGTCATACTTTGCATTCCCATTGTGAAGCCCAATTTTGAGTTGTATGACTCTTGATATATTGAATTATCAACCTGCTTTTCCATTTTTATGGTTTGTTTCTGTCCAAAAAAGATTTGAATCCATTTACTCTGAATAATTTGAGAATCTAATCTTTCCAATAGGATAGTTATCATCGACGCATTGGTGAATAGGGTAGGTGTGTAAATGAGTCTAGTAGAGCTTGAATCACCCTTAATTTGAACTTGAGCTTGATTGATTTATTGAGTTCGAGGTCAAGCTTAAATTTATGAGTTTGAGTCGGCTCACTAAACCGTTTATTCATTATAAAAAAAAAATAAAATAAAAATAGTGTTATAATAAAATGACAAATAAATGAAAAATTATGAAAAATAAATAAATAAATCACTTAATATAATATCCAAAATATTATTTTTAAACTTTTTAAACACTTCAAAAATAATGTATTCAAATTTAATATATTTTAAGTATATTTTATATTCATATTTTGTTTTAAATGAACATGTTCACGAGCAAACAAGTCTGAGTCATGGCTAGCTTAAGCTTGACCTATTAGCTCATCAAGCTCAATGCACGATCCACTTATCGAACCATGAAGGTAGCTGCAGTTATTTGCCATTAAAAACAATCTTAAAAGAGTCTGAAAAATGAGAGACTACAAATTAAAACAAGCATCAACCTTTCAACAAAAACAACAAAAGAGAAATTTCCCTATGTAGCACCCAATTCTTATGCATTTACGTATCTCCCAACTAAACTTTCATTTTTACAGCCAAAGCACCCAATTCTTTCCTATCACATCAAAAACAGCACTAATGCACTGTGTAATGCTAAAATCTACCTTTACATACAGCACCAAATGCACTGTTTAATGCTGAAATCTACCTTTACATACCTAGGTAAGGTTGCTTTGCCTGTAAATATGAAGTTTAGGTGGGAGATACGTAAATGCATAAGAATTGGTTGCTACTTGTGTAAATTTCCCCCTTTAAAAAAAAATAAAAGACTTGTTTAGGTGGGAGATACGTAAATGCATAAGAATTGGCTGCTACTGGTGTAAATTTCCCCCTTTAAAAAAAAAGACGTGAACAGGATAATCTGAATGGTAGGCAACCATATAAATCTTCAATTATCATTACATCAATCTTCCAATATCTTAATACAAAAGGCTTCCACCTAAATGTCAATACACAAAACTACAAAATTAAATTAAAATAATAATAATAAAAATAGAAGCATTAGAATACAGAAGATCTACTTCTCCAAAACAAATTGATCTTCTCAAAAAATTTGAATGGGACTTTTGAGTCAACGATCTATAGTTAAAACTGATGGCATGGCTTAATTGTTCTTGAGCCTTACTATGCAAAATTGGTTTCTGCCCTCAAAATTGTTTATGATTTCTTGACCACTGCAACCGGAAAGAAAGGGTGGTGTTGGAACTCGAACGTAATTTCAAGAGAAGAATCGCTCTTGCAGGCTCTGTCGATCACGCTCAAAGCGATACGATTTTGTTCGACAACTTGCTCTAACTGGCGGAGCTCTAACAATTTGATTGAGTCTCCGGCGAAGCTGCCTCTCAGTGAGACTAGAATCCTTTGAGCATCTCTGAAGTGGTTGTGCTTAACTACATTCTGCATTTAAAAGATGCCAATGTATGGGTTTACTATAAAGAAAAGGGCAATATACATACCCAGCACATAATTCTTATGTTCTTACATATCTCGCGCCCAAAATATCATATTTACGCATGTAGCACTAAAATTTTTAATATCCATAAGAAATTGCACAATTATCATTTTTTTAAAGTGAAATACACCGTCACACATAGCTTAAAAGCACCGAAGTGCTGTGTAAATAATGGAAGTTTAGGTGTGAGATATATAAATACATAAAAATTGTATGATAGGTACGTAAATTTCCCTTAAGAAAAATATACTATGAACGGATCATTTTGATACTCACAGAGATGTGAACATTGGTAGTTGATTCCTTGAATTGATGATAGGAGATATGCGGAGGAACATTAGCCCTTTGCAGAAGCTCAAAGTGCTGAATAAATCTCTGCAAGGGAATACGTGGATGAATTAGTCAAATCTAAAACAGCTTTAAAGCAAAATAACTGCTGAACGTGTGAGCGTGAGTGTGTGTGCGTGTGAGCGAGTGAATAAGTTAAACATTTTATGAAACAAAATAATTTAAAATTTGATTTTTTTTTTCTTCAAAAGGAATGGCCGAAGGCCTATTATACGAGTCCCAGCCATCCCTAGGTGTGCTAAATATTTGAGTACCGCACCCTACACATGAGGGGATTCGAACCCGTGACCTGAGGGAACTTACGAACTTCAGAGAGGCTGCTCTACCAACAGGCCATGATAAGCGCAAAGTTAAATTTTGTAGTTATGTAAACCAACTGAAAATAATATAGAATGAAATTTAGTGTTAAATTCAATATATTGTTAAGAAAATCATTTGTTTGAGAATAAAAACATAATACTAATTAATTTTATCTTATCAAACTTCTCAAGTCAATTCTATGGGAGATCCAAGACAAACCAGACAAGTGCATGGATAGATATATATATATATATGTCTGTGTGTGCGCGCGCGCGCGCGTGTAACGTACATTTGTATGCATATATGTGTATAGTAATTGTATTTGTACCTCATGCTCGGTATTAAAGGGGCTTAAAATTTGAAAAATCTGTCTTTCATTATGCAAAGCTGCCAGCATCTGCACAAAAAAATAGAAGTTCTGCGCGTCAATAACAAATAATTTGGATTAGGCATGGAAAGATGTTACCATGGTCAATCCTTCTGAAATGTGGACATAAGATTGGAGTAACATGCACGCCGGTGAAGTCCCACCACCAAAATCAAAACCCACATCCTTAGCAAGATCACGCTTCTTTTTCCCTTTTCTCCGAGCTAATTGAAAAGAAAAAATTTTAAACATAAATCATATACTTCAAATATGTTTTGCAAGAATTAATAGATTTTCATGCAAGAACATAAAAAAAAAAGCTTGCCTGCCATGGAGAACATAGCTTAAATAATAAACACCTTCACACAGCTGGAAAAGCATTTCTATAGTACGGTAAAAAATCAAATAAAACTTAACTGAGAGATAATAATATTTTTGGGGCCCAATCTTTGTCTTCTAGGTTAGTGAGTAACATAGTGATATAGAATAAAATTGAAATATCAATGATAAACTTAAGAGTTGAATTACCAACAATGTCCTATGTATTCCAAGGTCAACTTTATTCACAAACATTAACCCTCTAATAATCAACAATTCCACTCCCCAAATTCCATAGGATCAAAGGCTACAATTTCTCAGTAAAATTACAAAACATGGTCCTATCAGAATTGCAACAGACCAATGTATGCAAAAGAGAGACAATTCAACCATTAAAAATCTTATAGGAAAAGCCAAATTTCACTAGATCATCATTTATAGCTTTTTCTCAGCCACTAGTAGCTAGCTTTATGAAAAATTGTTCTCCATTCACTAGTGTAAAGGGTTTCATTCGTGAAAACTAAAATTTAATGCTTCTTTTCACAGAATAATCTACAACGTTCCATCTCAATGATTTCAAATAAAGTCCATAACCCAACTTAGTGGTGCTTCTTTCCTCAACTCTTATACCCAAACTAAGTTTATTTTCCACTGCTTAATTGGGACACATGCTAATTCCAACATCGCGATAAATTCATTTCATTCTATACAACAATCATAAAATTCCGTCACAGCCAGCAACTCATCATTTCTTTGTTGCCTTAAACTCGTTTACTAATAGCAATTTCATATACTAATTCTAAGTTTCTCCATTATTTTTTAACGTCCAATTTTGAGTAAGAGATTCAACCTATCAAAAAGTTTACCAACATAACCCACAATTTCAATCAACATACACTAACATAACCCACAATGATTTTGTTTTAATATCAATATTTTAGAACAAAATGATACAAATGTTGATCGTGGAAATGATGATTAGAAATTACAATCACTCCAAAACTATTTCGAATACCATCTATATAGCTATATATAATAAATTCAATATTCCATTGAAACATGTTTTTCTTTAATGGACAACTAATTATTTCAGTGAAGAGCTTCCAAAGAAAATCAAGTGAAGCTCCATTCATTACTCATATTTTCATTAATTTCCAAGAAAAAATTATATTAATAACACATCTTCCTATCATAGAATCAAACTAATTCCATAATAGCATGATTTATTAAAGCTTTAATCACATTAGTCTCTCCCACAAATTCATTAAATGATTCATAAATTTGAACCCTCGAAAACTACCAAAATCTTGAACCTACATTTATTCTGAAATAATGATATCAAAATTATTCTTTATACAATTGTCATCCTCTTATTCTTTAGGATTTTATTAAAAAAATTATAAATTCTATCACTCTAAATATTTCCAATAAGTCTAAATGTTAGCATGTAATTAATCTAAAACAACAACTTATCATTCATGCATCTTTGTTGAAGATAACTTCACTTTTTAAAATAAAATCTAAAGCACGCCTCATAATTTCAGAGATTTTCTTTCTAAAAAAAATTTCTTGAAGTTCATATAGAAAAATCACTTTTACATAGAATTTTCAGAAAACTAACGACGAATGCTATAAACTTTAATTTCTCTTTTCACAAAATATTTGGAATATCCTTTTGTCACAGCTTAAAAAAAGCTACAGTTCACCTTGTTATCCTCTTTAAAAATCTTCAAGTTTCTATATATTGTTATAATATTTACAAAATATTTTCCTTTCTTCAATTCTTTAAAAGCACATTCATTTTATTCATAATCATTCGGATATCTTCAATCTACAACAAATCTCTCAGTGTAAGATAAAAATTAAGCCAAAATACCCGTAGCAATTTTTCTAAATCAACTTATATTTTATCCAACATCAACTTCGTTTAAGCTTTTTATAGTACCAACTGGCTTTTCTTAGCAACATGTATGGTATTTTTTTTTTTTACTTTTTCACCCTCTTTTAGGATTTTTGAGTACCAAAGCACAAATTTGATGTGGGTATATTATATCATAGAACCTTGGTAATAACTTATAAACCAACTACACTAGCAGTCTCCCATACTTCTTCATTTTAAGTTTCACTATCTTAATATGGTGCCTTGATCATAATTAAAGAAGTTCAAAAATGAAATTAACATCACACTATGGTTTTTAGCTAAGCGGCACATGCAAACTTATATGTCATTGGAAGCTAAAACACGAGATTAAAAAGAAAAGATCCCAAGATTTGGACTATGGACTGCCGAAACTAGAATCAACTTGCAACATGGAAACAGATCTAATCAACATTTTTCTATTATATATAGCAATTTGAAGATATAAATCTATAGATGGAAGTAGAAGATAATGAACAACTTCCATGAAGCAGGTACAAATTTAATTTAAAAAAATGTCTAGTACGGTACATATGTTTATCATTAAAAGTTGCAGTTTTTGCCATTAAAGATACGCGGGATAGTCCAGCCAGGCCGAACGAGACATGGGACAGGATTTTCCTCCCAGTGAGATACTACCGAGAATTTTCCCGCCTGCTATGGCCATCAGTCCTTGGTGGCCCGATTTTCCTTTATTTTTTAATTAGGATTAGAGTTTATTGATGTCTTAGAAAAAGTATGTTGCTTAGTACCTGATTTTATAACTTTTGGATTTTTATTTATGTAACAGAGATTATTTCCTTTAATTTTTTCTTGCCGAAGTGACATATCCTTGCATCTTTCGCAGGTGGTGTGCTAGTAGTCTAATTGGATCAAGGTAGAGATCTCTCCCAGACGTCTGAAGACCTTTCTATACCTTCGCAGTGCTGTCTAGCTGTTGTTTTTTGCGTCCAGATTGCTATCCAGCTGTCGATCCCACCCATATTCAGTTGTCACTAATTTTTTCCTCTATTGCTATTCCTATCAAAATTCAACCCATCCCGTGATCCTTCTACACTGCCTAAGAATCTTAGATAGATATTATTTGGTATCAAAACCTAACAAACCCTAAATCTTTAGCGATTTATTTTCCCCTCTTGAATATAAATCCACATTACCTAATTTATCAATCCTCAGCCTCTCACCTTTGAGCCGCTCAAAACCATCTTCCTATTTTGTGCGAAACCCTAATTGAGAGAAAGGGATGTTGTACTGTCGAAGAGAAACATGCAAAGAGGTGCCGGGAGTCTACATAGAAGAAATGCAAAGCGAAATCCTTTAACTACAGTAAAGACTTGCCAACTTTGAAAAAATCAACATGGAGAGATCACCCATAACCGTCATAGTTACTCCCTAGATCAAGATGAGGAAATTAACCCCTTTCAGCAGAAAGTTTCCAGTGACAAAAAATCAATGCCCCCACTGATTTGACATTGAATACCAAATGAATGACAACAACTTTAGGATAGAAGATCAACTTGCTAGATGTTGATGAACATTGAAATTCAAAAGAATTCATTAAGCGACTTCAAACAATAGAACAAATATTTGAATGCAAGGATATTCAGTCTTATATAAGGGAGAAGCTAATGGTCATTATGTTAAAAAAAAGAGTGCTTCTCTAAAGTGGGAGAATTTGAAGTGTCTGTGTTAGCATGACTAAAAAAGCAACATCACGACCAAATCCAAGAAAAAGAGAGAGATGCAGCGTAGTATATCCCAACACACAACAAACTAGTTATCTTATTGAGACTACATTTGCAATCGAAGGATCAAATAACAGAGAACACTAGTGAGTTTGAATAACTCATATTGAAGTTTGACTTGGTGGAGCCATAATAGAACATCATTAGCCTCGTGACTTACAGAATTGAGACCATCCATCAGCAATGTGATGCAGTTACCACCTTATTAGACTCTATAGGAAGCCCAAACTCTAGCCCTTAAGTTGGAGAAGCAACACAATAGCACCAAGTCCACTCCCCCTTCAAATAAGGTTTGAACATCGATTCAACCTATCCCAAACAACCAAGATATTTCAATTACGAAGTAATTTAAGTGTCATAGATGTGGGCAAATTGACTAGAGGGTCAAACCTATCCCAAACAACCAAGATATTTCAATTACGAAGTAATTTAAGTGTCATAGATGTGGGCAAATTGACTAGAGGGTCAAACCTTGTTGTTGTTGTTGTTGTTGTTGTTGTTGTTGTTTTAGATGTGGGCAAATTCCATCCAACTGGCCAAACAAGAAAGTGATTACTTTTATTGAACAAGTTGTAGTGAAAGAAGCAGATAGTGGAGATTTTGGAGAGAAGGAAAATGAAGAAGATTACTAGCTATCCATAGACAATGGTGATATACTTGTCGCTTGACGAGCTCTCTAGACCGAGCCCAATAGGAATCAATATTGGCTTAAGAAATAAGTGCATAACCTTTTCCATACTAGCCATACAATTTAGGAAAAAATGTGCAGTCTCATAATAGACCGAGATAGTTATGAGAATATATTGTTAAACAAATAGTGGATAAGTTGAATCTCACCATCCACAAACATTCTCAGTCATATTCCTCGACTTAGTTGAAGAAGAAAACGAGTTCAATGTTCACAAGAGATGTTTGGTAGAGTTTTCTATTAAAGACAGGCTATAAGGCCAGATGTGGTTGATGTTAGGTCAATGGATGGTAGAGTTTTCTATTAGAGACAAACAAAAAGATCATGTGTGATTGGTTTCATGTCTATGAATGCATGTCACATTCATTTTTGTTGATCATGACAATACGAAAGGGTACACTTCATGATGGCACAAAACACCACTCATCTATCAATTAAGGGAAATACAATGTCTGTCTGCCATTGAAGAAGTTAGCAATGATAAGTATTCAGACAGAGCTGAGAGCTAAAGTACCTCGTGCTATATTTCTACTTCTATGAGAGAAGAATCTGTGA